CTATTCAAATAGGAGCCATAAATCCAGGAAAAATCTCAGATCTGGTAGAATGCCACCTTGTCAAGAGCCATTATTGGCGCTACCATGGAGTTAGGTGATTTGGGCACAAACAGCTGCTCCATTTTGCTGGAATTTAATTAGAGCTCAATTTCAAATCCAGGGATCCACATATTTAGTCCCCGCATAACAATCTCCAAGTAATGTTCAAGAGACTGTTTTGATCCCCAAAACAGAAATAGATTCAGAAGCTCATGTTAATATTTATTTAGAGACTAGACTATAGAACACTGCATGCTACTTTCAGCATTGGTTAAGCACTGATTTCATCTAACACATGGATAAATCTCATCTTTGCTTTCATTCAAGAGAGAGTGTTCTGCCAATAAAATCTATCCTTGATGTCTAGGAAGACCAGCATTGTATGGAAGTCCAAAAACTGTATCTATGTCCCTCATGTGTACACCCAGATATATGAGATTAGACTGTCCCTGTTCCCAACACCATTGTCCTTTTTTGTCCATGCCTTTTTTTCAGTTCTAAATGTAATATATCTGATTGTAGACCTACTTCTGCAGCTTGTCCTGCCTCCTAGGCTTTTTACTCTGCTTGTCATTTGATCCTGGATAATATCAAACTCAGCCAGTTTGGTGCAATGCTTAAGGTATCAAGTTAGAAACTAGGTGACCATGAATTCTAGTCCCACCTTGTGCATGAAGCCAGCTGGGTGACATTAGACTAGCCACTGGCAGTGGCAAACCACTATTGAAAATCTTTGCCAAGAAAACTGCAGGGACTCATCTCTGAGAATTGGACACAAGCGGGGGGGAGGGGGGAGGAATCACATTTAAGACACAAGTAAACCTAAGGGGAAATTGCTCTATTGTTGATGAATTACACCTACAATATGTACATCAGGACCATTGGCAATTTTGCCCAAATTTATGAATGAAAAATACCTATGTGAGAGGTCCTTGATATTCTCTGAGCTTGATTGTTTTCTTGCAGACATTTCACTACTCATATTAGGTAATATCATCAGTGCATCAGTTTGGGTAATAAAACATGTGCAAGAAAACAACCAAGCTCAGAGAATACTAAGGATCCTTCATTTCATTCGAGCTACAAATCTTCTCTTCCATCAATAAATTTATTTCTTAAATAGCAATGCCATAAGTGCATACTGATGTATATGCCACAACCAATTAAAATGATTTCAGCTGGTTTCCAAATGAATAACAAGTGTCCAGTGATAAATGTCTAAGCCTCTGCCTTCTGTACCAGCTGAAGCTTCTGAACCATCATTACAAAGAGGTCTATCTCAAATTAATTTCAACCTGAACAAAACCCCAGTATGTCACTCCTACAGAATCATTGCTAGTAGACCATTCCCAGGTACCAAAGGCAATAGCCTTTAGATAGGATTGAGGGTCCCAGCCTCTGAATTTTATAAATGGATTAGAGCAGGGGTGTCAAACTCTCAACGTCATGTGACGTGTCGCGACATTTTTGATTTTTTA